ATTTAGACTTTGTCCATGTAAGTATACTGATTTAATGGTAAAGATTGCTTGAAAATTAAACTCTCCTCCTCTTTCCAGTCAGGAGGAGAGGAAGAAACGTACGTTCAGAGACTACACTAGTCAGAAGATCACTCTGGAAGCTGTCTTGAATACTGTGTGCAAGAAATGTGGTTGCAAAGGTATATTCATGTAGGGTTATTTTAATCTTTTGATCTACCCCTTTGTGCTAGCTAGATTGTGACTTGGTCACATGGTTGTAGTGATCCCTGCCTCGTGATTGTCTTGTCCTATAATAAGGGACATTTACAGTGCAACTGCATCTTGCATCACTTTCCTTTTGTAAAGCAAAGACTCAAATGAATTTTTAAGATTTGTTTCTTAAAACTGCATCCACTTGACCCTTCTCTAAGGAACCATTCTTTCAGCACATTTTTTCCCTTCCTTTGTCTGTTTTGGTGCATCTTACAGCTGAACTCTTATTCTAGTTTTGCATTTTAAGACATTAAAGTTGACTTTAACTAGATCACTTCTTTCTGAAAGAAATGGAAATTGCTTTACTGCATAGTTGGGAATACTGTTAGATAAGCTCTCCTAGAGCTGAAAATGAGTATTTTTACCTGGTGAAACTCTTGTTTGCCTCGCATACATGTGGAAAGTTGGCTTAACTGATGCCTTTTCTAGAAACTTTCATTGACTAACTGCTAATTTGCCCGAGTATAAATTGGAAAAGCTTTTTGCACATGGAATGTTTGCTGCACCTTCCTTACTGTCTTAACATTATTCAGCCACAGAGTAGTCGTTTTAACGCTGGTGTTAACGCTGATCTGGAGAAGCTTAATGAAGACAGTTTTAAAAGCACCTGTTCTAAACATTAATATGGTTCTCTCTAGTGGCAGATAACTATCTTTAAAATACTATTTTAAGAAACCCCAAAACTTTAATCTACATTCTGAATATTTGCTATCTGCTTCTTAATGATGGTGTCTATTCATAAAAGCCAGGCAGATGATATGCAAGTGCAGTTTCCACTACAACTGTTAATAGATCAGCTTTGATGTCTCCAGAGTAGAACCAGATTGAGCTGATTTCCCAAGTGTTTGCGGTTTTGCTCTCATTTACCAGATGTCCGTCACACCAGTTGACTCCCTTTCCTATCCACTTTTTTACCTGCTGCTTAAGCTGTTGCCCAGGTGTGTCTCTACTAATTTCCCTACTCAGAGAAGAGTGTCTTAGTGTTGCACGATTAATCTTTCTGGAATGACTTATGTTGCACTTGCTCTGCTGGCGTTTTTAATCTGGACCTGTAAAGCTAGTTGGAATGCTAGGGGATGGGAAAAAGTGCAGTGTAGATTCTCATAGTGTGACTAATGATCAGAGGTTTGTTGTCAGCACTTTATCTAAAATGTGGCTTTGAAAAAAGGTCTGGGTTACTACTTTGAATGCTCTTTTGCAGGTCATTTTGCCAAGGAGTGTTTCATGCAGCCTGGAGGTACCAAATATAGCCTGATTCCAGAAGAGGAGGAGGAAGGGGCAGCAACAGCAGAATATGAAAAAGATAAAAAGACCAGCCTGACTGATGACTCTTCCAAAAAAAGGAAAAAGGTACAAGGTGCACTTCTGCTAGAAAAGTGGGTCAGATGTGTTGTTCAGTAGAGTTACGTTTGTGTTTTTTTATAACTGATCTCTAGTGTGGTTTTGTACCATAACGTATAGACCTGTCAGGTCCTGCAGCGAGACAGAGGGATGTTTTTT